TATATATATTATATTTCAGTATATGTAATTGCTCGACATAAAACATGTCGACAGTTATTCTTAATAATCCTTGGTCCTAATCCCTGTCAGGTTTTATTGCGTTTCAATATTACTTTACTAGTCATTTCAGATCCATATTGACAGGGAACGAAATATTTAACGAAAGATTCCTGAATATTTACGAAAATTTTAATTTTAATTTTATTTTAGATTACTGATTAAAAATAAAACGAAGATAATTTCGCAATAATCATTAACTGATATACCATAGGCACGCGTACGGCAACGATGAAGATAACGGTCGGGGGGAAAAAAAAAAGTAGCAAACGTAGATAACCTTACACTAGAAATACCGTACCCTAAACGGGATCATCATCTGTCCTCTCGAAGGGCGTACGCAGAAGAGAAGTCTGCGCTCCTCGTTTCTTCTGCCATTCTTGCCCGACATACGTCGCAGCCGTCGCAGATGCAGCGGCGAAGATCGAAATTCGCAATACGCTGAGAAACAGTGATCGGAGGGAAAGGAAAGGAAGGGAAGAAGGGCAGAAGGAAAGAAGAGGAGGGTAGAGAAAAACTGCCCCTAACCCCTCGCTAACAGCTATCAAAAGTCCCCCTCTCTTTTGGTCGGATAGATGAAAACGAAGGGAAGTCAGAGAAAAAATAATCACCCTGGGAAGTGGAGGATCGTGGGGAGCGAGGTGGACGAGGAGTAGACGCGGGGACGAGGAGACGGGAGGATGGGAGGAGGAAGAGAGGAGGAGACGGGATGAAGAAGACAGGTAAGCGTGTACGCGAGGCAAATGAGGGGACAAGGTACAAGGAGAGAGGGGGGCGCGGAAAGGAATTCGAAATGAGAAATGACATCAAAATTGAAACGATATCTCGCAAGGTGAAATTTGTTTGCGAATCGCCGGTGTCGCGTTATTATACGCGATAAACAGGATGGATAATGGATTTTTATAACGTAACGATAACGGTGCGACAAGAAGGGATTAAATGGCAGCAATTTCGATCGAGGAGGAGTTCGAGATGAGTAAAAAAAAAAAAATATCGAAAATCGATATCTTCGCAAACGTGATTGATTTGTTTGCGAATCCCCGAGTTATTCGCGATAAATAGCATAGATAATGGATTTTTATAACAATTCTAGGGCGTGACCCTGGGAGAGAATAAATGGAGCACTTGTTGAAACGAAGGAAATATTTGGAACGTGGAATTTATTTGCAATTCTCAGGCGACAACGATATTCCACGACATAAACCGCATAATGATAATGATTTTTATAACAATTCAAAGGACGTAGGGCGTAGCCAAGGACAAAAAGAATGGGGTGAGGTATTCCCTAGCGCGTGATATTTTACACACTCTTATACGTGTATGTATAACGTCAAAAGTATTAAAATCAGTTTTTTTTTTTTTTTTTTTTTTTTTTTTTCATATTGAAATTGCAAAATTTAATCGTTAAGCGAAAGGTGAAGGTCGATTCTCTTTACGATGTACTTCGATTCATTATATGTTTATTAAGTAGAGATCATTAATGCACCCATTGGAAAAAGATAAATTTACTGGATTGTCTAGTCCGAATTCACGAAATTCGGGAAATTTCTCTTGGCATTTCGTACCAGAAGTTGAATAAAAAAAGCACCGGTGATTTATTATCGTGCTTAAGTATGGATAATTTTATTACAAGGATTACAAGAAATATTTTTCCCCAATTAACTGAACGAATCAAATAAAATAAAATATCGTTGCCGGTCCAATATAATATAAAGTAGCTACGTATACCTGTTCCGAAATCGTTTTCGAATAGTTTAATCTCTAGTTCGCTTGGCAAGATAAAGTTTGCGTTCAAAGTTATTGGTTCGAAACGAAAATAAAATGAAAATTATAAAATGAGTCGAAATATCGATCGAAATCAATTTTACAATAATTTTCATCGTTAATATTATTCGTTTACTATTGTCCTTTACTTTTACTTAAGTAAAATACTACTTTATTTTAAGTAATACTACTTTTTTTTAAATAAAATAAAATAAAATATATTACAGATATTATAATTAATAACATCTTAGATAAAAAAAGTGATTGACATAGATAGATCTGAAACGGAGGCACGGAATGAACAGCGTTAAAACCGTAAACGGCATAAAGTTTCCGAGAACGGACAGTGTCGGTAAATCAAGACCTTAGAACACGGCCAACTCTTATCGACGTTCAACCGCAACCGAAATATCGCAACGATATCTCGCTCTCTTTTTCCTCGTTTCGCTCGTTCGTTGC